GAATATGTCTCTTTCCCATTTGGACCTTGAACAAGAATCCTCCATTAAAGGGATGAATGACACTGGTGAGCACAACTGCCTCATTTGAGGTTAATAATCAGGGGATCACTGGATGAGTTCTATTGCCGTTTTATTATTCTTCTCTTCTTAATCTTTACTCTGTCTTTGTTTAGTGGATCTTTTTCCATTGCCAACAAACCTGACCAGATCTCTCCCATATTAAAACTCATATTTTCATTTCATCTTCATCTGACCAAGCCATGCCCTCAAGATGTCATCCTATATCTCTCCTCTTCATCACATTCAAACTTCTAGAAAAAAGCCACAGATACCACCTGCCTCTACCTGCTTACTTCCCATATGCTTCTCAACCACTTGTAATTTAGTTTATGAATTCACTATTCAACTGAAAGTTTTCCAAGGTTACCAATGATCTCAATTGCCAATGACCTTTTCTCAGTACTCATCTTTCTTGATCACACTCTGCTGCTTTTGGCACTGTTGACAACCCCTTTTCTTCCTGGATACTTGCTGTTCCTAGAGTTTTTGTGACACTACTGTTTTCTGGTCCTCTTCTTATTTGTGTAACCCAATATCCTTTGGTAGATAATCATCCATGTCTCATCTCCTAGTACACCCTAAGGCTCTCTCTGTCTTGGTTTTTTTTCTAATTAGGTCAGAGGTTCTCAACCTAGGAATCTCCAAGGGGTCTATGGATATATTTCAGGGGGTTGGTAAATCTGGATGAGAAAATATATATATGTATATCTATATATACATATATAATATACTTTTATTTTTCATTAATCTTTGGTTTTCTTTATAATTCTCTATCTTTTATTTTATTGTGTTTAAAGACATTCTGAGAAAGGGTGAAGCCAGAGGTTTCATGAAGCTGCCAGAGGTGTTCACCGCACAAAAAATGTTAAGAATCTTTGCTTTAGGTGATCTCATCAGCTCCCATGGGTTCAATGACCACCTTTATGAAGAAAGCTCACAAATCTACATATTTATTGCTCTTTTTTCTCCTTAATTCTCTGGTCCCATATCACCACCTGCCAGCCAGACATCTCTATCCTGATGTCCCACAGGGATTTCAAACTTAAAATGTATAAAACAACTCATTATCTTTCTCTCTAAAACTATCATTCCTTCTAACTTACCTATATCTTTTGAGGGTACTACCATTCTTGTAGTAACCAAGGCTTGCACCCCTGAAATCATCATTAATTCTTCCCTCTCAATCACAACTCTCCCCCCCACCCCCCCACCCCCCATCTAATCAACTACTAAGTCTTGCTAATTCTACCTCCAGGTCTCTTTCATTCCATTTCTACACTCACCTTGCCACAATTCATAGATCAGGCCCTCATTTCTTCTCACCTAGGCTACAGCGATAACCAAATCGCTCTTCTTACTTCTATTCTCTTTCCTCTCCAATCCATCAAACACAGCTGCCAAAGTTACATTTCTAAAGCACAAGCCTGATGATGTCATTGCCCTGTTCGAAAGCTCCAGTGGTTTTTGCCTGCAGGACAAAGTACAAACTCCTGTATTTAGCATTTAAAGCCTTTTACAACCTTGTTCCACCCTCTATTTCCAGACTTATTTTACATTACTCACCATCATGTACTTTATATTCCAGCCTCTTTGTCACTCCCTAGGCCTGGAATGCTCTCCCTCTTCATTTCCACCTCTTGGAATCCCCAGATCTCTTCACCTACCTGAAGCCTTTCTTGGACCCTTTCTCCCCCAAGTTGTTAGACTTCTCCTTCCACTGAAATTACTTTGCATTATTTTGTTCATACTTATCTGTGTATATGCTTTATCCCTCAGTAGAATGTAAGCTCCCCCCCTCAAGGTGGGGACTGTTTTGGGTTTGTCCTCATAGTCCAAGCACCTTGATGCTTTCCACATAGTAGGTGCTTAATAAATGCTCAATTGAATTGAATTTTATCAAAGAATCTTGCATGATCCTCACATATAAAAGAATTCCTTTTTGCAAGAGAATTTTTTCCTCTACCAAAATATCATTTTGGGGAGGTGGCAGGGAGGGAAATGAAGGGAGATTTTCAACTAACAATAACTAACAGTGGGCTCTTTTTTTGTTTTGCTTTTTCAAGGCAATCGGGGTTAAGTGAGTTGCCCAGGGTCACTCAGCTAGTAAGAACAGTGGGCTCTTGTACTCTTTTGCACCTTTCAGTCAACATATAGCCTACTATAGAGAATAATTTGTGAAAGTCTACCAGTTTCCACCTCACATTTTCATTAATGATATCCTCCATATGCATGTAGTTCATTTTTATGAATATTATATAAAGATGTGGGAGTAGTGGTTTTTTTCCCCATTCTTGTTTCTTTCCCTCCCTGAAATAAAATGATCCCTCTGTGGATTTGTGATTTGTTAAATATCAGTCTTATTTTATTGAAATATTTCATAAGGACCTGCATTTAATTATGTATAAATGTAGCCCTATTTACAGAAGGATAAGCTGTGAGTAGTGGAAAAGTGTGATCTGTGGCCTTCTGAATCAATAGGAATATTATAGGAATGTAGTTCTGCCTGGGACATTGGGTAGTAATCTAAGCATGTTACTGATAGTCCCAGAATTTTTTATCACTTGTTTCCAATGGGGGACCCTAAGGAAGGGGCTAAGGTTAAATTAAGAATATACTACCCAATCCTAGTCAAGGGCTGACTTTAGGAAGAGAAATAAGCTTCAAAGGAGAAAGGGCTATTACTCTGATAGAAAAATAAAGAATCTATTCCTGGAAGATAATTTATGCTGCCATCCAGAGATGAACCAGTTGTAAAGATAGGATAGTCCTTAGAGCAGAAGCTCCTTGAACCAGCATTCTATTCCAAAAGCCATGTCCTCAGCTTAAACAGTTGTAATTACTGCCTAGTTTAGAAGAGGAACTAGAAAAGAGGCCTTTACTAGCCTGTCTATGAAGTCTGTCAGGCTATGGGAGCCTAGACACCAGTGGCTGACATACAGGGATTACCAACCCAGGGGAATGGTAAAAGATGATGGAATATCGTTGAGAGTGTGTGATATATCAGAGTACAATGCAGCAGTATGTCCCTGTGAGAATGCAGTTTTTTTGTGGGAATGTGATAGAGGGGCCACTGTGGGCTAACAGACAGTATTTTGATAATTCCTATTTTTTAAAATTCCTTTTGTCCAAACTCGTGTAGGGAAAGTGAGAAAATTCCCTCCACTGATATAGAACAGCAACTTATTTGCACCTTATAGAGTTGACTAGGAGGTTAGGTGACTTGACCAGGGTCACACTTTGTCTATTTATTATTAATACAAATTTATTTTTTGTTACATTTGGTATATTTGGTGAACGAGAAGGCATAAAGCTGTCCAAGGGGACTGACTGACCCAGGTTTCTGGGTTCAACCTGAGAGGAAAACAATTCCTTCACTACTACCATTGATATCTTGAGAGTGACATAGCAATGGGCTAGTAGGCAAGTCACTCTACCTCTACGGACCCTTAGTTTCTGCATTTGTAAAATAAGGTTTTCTTAGAAATAAGGTTTTCGTAGAAAATAAGATTTTCTAATTAGAGGTTGCCTAAGATCTAGAGGACCTCAGAGTTCCCCTCCAGCTCTTAATCTATGATTCTGCACACAGGCATATGTATTTTAATACCATTACATATTTTAGGCATTCAATAACATAAGTATTTATCGAGTGTCTATTATGTACAAGACATTGTGCTAGGTGGTTTTGGGGAAATAAAAGATGAAGACATGCTCCCTGTCTCGAAGAACTTACAATCTAATAGGGAGAATAAGACAAGTACAAAAATTAAATGCCATAACAGATATAAAGTCTCTTTTTCTTTATTTCTCAGTTGTATTCACAGGTGTTTCTCCAGCCTTCCCTTACATTTTAAGTTGCTTGGTAACAGTTAAGTCTCTGTCACTCCCCACAGTACCTGAGCACTCAACAAATGCTTCCTGACTCTGTATTCCCCGATCCAAGCTCAGCAAAACTTACCAAGTGACTTTCTACCCAAAATGCTCACTCACTCTTGGGATACACTTTGATAAGCAGAGTATCAACATAAAATTAAAAGCCTGCATTTTTAGAAAATATTACATATATGTCTCACTTTGTGGAAAAGGTACAATGGACAAGTCAGCCACAAAGTTAACTTCTGCTCACTGACCATATTTTTTTATTGCCTTACATCATAACATTAGAGATATATTCCTTGAGGAAAAATATTGGCCCAAGGACATAATACAAATAACACCTAAGCATGCAGAAAACCTTTTAAAATCACAAATGGTATTTATAGGAAACATAACTTTTAACATTAAGCTTACTAATTCCAATGCTCAAAATGTCATAAAATGCAAATACTGTGCTAAAGTAGAAAACATACCACAAACCACACTCTTTTGGGGATAAATACAAATTAAGGAATTGTGATCCATGGAGGACCTGGCCCTTAAAATTCAGTTAATTCAGGAAGATGGGTTCCTTCCACAATTTTTTTTGTTTTCTGGGACATTACCTTAACAATTGTTGACTGTGAGACATCTGAGTTGTATAGTACCTACTGTATGTTTTACTTTAGTGTGACCAGCTGATTAGCAACACTCAGGGTTCTGGGGTTCCTTCCTCTTACAAGTGAAGCTAACTTTCCAGGAAGTGCCAGCAGTGAGGTGGTTTTGACTGACTTTTTCACTGAATTGACTAGATGTTTTGGAAGCGAGTAGACATGGCCTTAAAGAGAGATTCTGCATATAAAATAGTAATGTATTTTTATTCCAAATAGTTAAAATATGCCTATTTCTCATGAAGTTAATCTTGCAAAACACACTAAAGTATTTTGAGTCGAGTAATGGACAGAGCCAGTGATACAGAAAGCACAGGACGGGGAGTCCAGGGACCTGGGTTCCAGTCCCAGTTCTGCCACTGAGTGGTAATGTGACCTGCAGCGAGTCACAACCTCTCTGGGTCTTATTTTCCTCACCTGTGAAATGAGGAGGTTGGACCGGATGACCTTTAAGGTCCCTTCCAGCTCTAAGATCATATATTCCTATAATATAAAAAGTCCTGGTTAGGGTCTACTGCTTTTTTAACTATAATAAATAACCTGGACTACACTAATTTAGAATCGGTGATAATACAGACATCAGCTGGGCTGAAATTTATTTTTGAATTATATAGGAAGAAAAATTTACTAAACAAATTAATGTGAAACAAGGTTGCCCAGAGACACATTTAAACTACTAACACGAATAGTCTCAAAGTACCATCCAAGCATATTTTAAAAATTAATTTAAAATGTAAAATAAAATATTTAAAAGCATATTTTATATATAAACTAATTATATTTGAATATGCTAATTACAAATATTCTTACATAGTAAAGCACATTTTCTATGATCATTTGTTAAAATAGTTATAAGTACAGTATATGTAAGTAAAATTCATAAAATTAATTTCTTTTAAAATATTCTCATTTTGCTAATTCATACTACCCTTCTTTCAGTCATTGACAAAATATCCTCTCCCCTCCCCAGGAAAAGGCTCAGTTGTTTAAGGATTTCCATGTTAAAATATGAAGTTTTAAATATTTTTAAGTATTGTAGATGGAAGCTTAACATTCAAGTGCAAGTTATAAATTCTTGAATGGGAATGTCATAAACAGTGGCTGATTCCTTTGGCAGAGGAGAAGGAGGATTCTGGAGAAGTTGAGGTAGAGCTATGTAGTCAGAACAAGTGCTTTTAAGAAAGGATGATAGAAGAAAAAGAGAAGGGGTGGGCAGCTCCCTGTGGTAGAGTGAATAAGTTATTGGACTTTGAGTTCAAAGGACCTGGATTCAAATTCTGACTCTGCTAGTTTTTAGTTTTATGACTTTGGGGCAAGTTACTTCCCCTTTCTATGGGCCTCAGTTTCCTTATTTGTAGAATGAGGGGGTCAGACTAAGATCTCTAAGAATATCTTCCAGCTCTGAATCCTGTGATCATGGGGAAAATGATCTAAAGAATATTATAGGATATTTTTGATAGTACTGGTGGTATCAAAAGTTGGAGAGATAAGAAAGGAACACAGGATTTCTAGGGAATACAATTCTTATTATTATATTTAAAAATAATTTATAGTTTACACAGTGTTTGTGTATACATTATTTTATTTGGCCCTCAAAGTGAAAGCATCTTCACTTAACAGATGAGGAAACTGAGGCTCAGAGTCGGGGAACTTAATACTCTCAACAGAGGAACTCCTATGCTAGGGCCTTCAATGTTCACATTGGTGAGTATGTTACATTGCCCATCAACTCCAGCCAGCCTCAGCCCTGCTTCACATTCCACCTAGACCATGTTATTGGAATGTATGTATCTCTCTACCTCTTTCTGGCTATCACTCCCTTATGTATGAGGTTTCTCCCTATTAGAAGGTAAACTTCTGTAGAGCAGAATTGCCTCACTTTTGTATTTGTATTTAATAAGCATTTAATAAATTCTCATTCATCCATTCATTCAGAGAGGTGGACTGGAGTGCCTGGTCTAGGGGTCACACAATTAATAACTAGAAAAGTGGGTAAGTCCAGTGATTTTTCCACCATTGTAGACAATTAGAAGGGGGAGGGGAGAAGAGAAGAAAGGGAGGAAATCAGGTGAGATGATAGAAAGGGTAGCTAAACATAGAACTGATGAATAGAAACAGAGTTGACTAGTCAAAAGGACTGAAACCCCAGAGATTAGGACCTAGAGAAAGTGGATTCAACTGGGAAGTGGTAAAAGAGAATATTGAAGGGATTTTTTAGTGCTTCAAAACTGTGCCAAGAGAAATGAGTAATGTGAAACTGAATTTAAGATATACCTCAGTCATATGCAATTGAACTCCAAAATTCTCTCACATTAGAGTTTAGTTATTTACTGGAAGCCAAGGCATTTGAAAGGAAACTGCTGGACAGCAAGAGGGTAGGGAGTTAAAGGGGGTAGGGAAGAAGTCAGGATACAGTCCAATTTTTGATTAAAAAAAAACTTTTTTACTCTTAGGTGGTGGCAACAGAAAGAATATGAGAAAAGGAAATCAGTTGGGGTGTGGTGCTATTCTGAATTTCATGAAATGGTCCAAATGTGTAAGGTTTTATTGTATTTTTCAAAATTGAATGTATGGTTTAGAATAAGCAGAACTCAATTGTAGTAAGTGTCCTCTATTTGTAATTTGAAGCAAACATTATTAGAATAAATGTGAGAATTCTAAGATAAGGAAAAAATTAAAACTGGCCTATCATATAAAGTTTACAATTCACATCAAGAATAATAAATTACTAAGGAAAAAAAGAACAGCTTGGAAGGAGAAAAATGGAAGCTGAAATCATACCAAATAAAGTGTTAAAGGAAATGAGAAAAAACTAACAGGAAAATATTAGTGAGATAATATAAGTTGGCAATTAAATGAAACATATTTTTCTCATTTTATCTAATTATGATAGAAATAATGTAGACCATTTCTGTAGAAGAAGCTAACAGACAATAGCAAAGAGTTTCTGAGCTCTAAGTAAGATTTGCTTAATATTCTCTATACATAAAATACCTGTTTAGATTTTAAAATCATAAATCAATAAATGTTATTTAAAAGATCATTCCATGGGGCAGCTAGGTGGTACAGTGGATCAAGCACTGGCCCTGGAGTTAGGAGAACCCGAGTTCAAATCTGGCCTCAGACACATAACACTCACTAGCTGTGTGACTCTGGGCAACTCACAACCCCAATTGCCTCACCAAAAAAAAAAAAAAAGATTATTTCATTAAGTGATAACAATATTTTGGATATCATGTATATTTGGATTTTATAAAAATAAGTTGTAGAACAATCTTGAAGCATCATTATTATATCATATTATGTAACCATATAACCAGCAATAAAAGAGCTTCTAATTTGTAGTTTAGGAATGAAAGATTACTATAAAGACATGAAGGAACCATTACATTTTCTGTCTATTAAATGGTACCATGAGAGGCAGGGTGGCATAGTAGATAAGTTGGCCTCGGAGTCAAGACCACCTGGATTCATTCTTTACCTCTGTTGCACACTAATTATGTGGCAATGTTTCAATGTCTCAGGCAACTGTCTAAAAATGTTAAGTTACAGATGAGCTGCCCGTGAATTACCCCAGGTGTATAGAATTTCCACTCTATTAGTTCCAACAGTTTGTTGAAATTACTAATCCAGAGCAAAAAACCAGGGGGTACCTCAGCAGTGTGAATTACCTAATGTGTCTTCTAGTATATCCAGAAAACAGACGCCTGCTCATGTCACAAAGTAAAAGGGGCAGATTAGAGAGTAATCATGTTGAAGGATTCCCCAATTTAACTGATGGGACACAAGGAACTTCTTCCTTCTGCCAGACCCTTTTAATGGAAAAAAATGATTAGTAGGTATTTAGTTAAAACTGCATTAAACACGGGGCAGCTAGGTGGCACAGTGAATAGAGCACCGGCACTGAAGTCAGAAAGACCTGAGTTCAAATTGTCCTCAGATCAAACACTTAACACTTACTAGCTGTGTGACCCTGGACAAGTCACTTAACCCCAATTGCCTAAAAAACAAACAAACAAAAAAAAACAAAAAAACCTGCATAAGACAGCTATAAAATAGTGTAATAAAATTATGTTAACTGTTTTCCCCCTAACTTCTATCAAACCTAATATTTCAAGTGCTATTAGACTATTAATCAACCAGACAACAAATATTTATGATTACTTATTTAAAATACACATGCTCAGTACTGTGATTGATAGCCTCTTAACTCAGGTAACTCCCTAGGCCACACAACACTCTTCTAGAAATCTGGTATTGCTCCCCAATGTAGCGATGTCTCGTAGTTTGGCTATACTTACTTGGCTCCCTTCTGCTTCACTGCTGTACTAGTTTAAAGCTACCAAAAAAAGCACTGGTTTCTCAGAATCCTCAAGATAGTAAATTTATTTCCAGCGATTAGTTTATGCTTTGAGAATGTGGCATGAAAGTCATATGTTGCTACTCATTAAAATGACTAATATGTACAGATATTTGTAGCAATAAGTTTCATATGTAGTATATGTAATTTACCTGACTCCACTGCACTAGATAGGAAATAGTGGTACTACAGGCAAATTCAAGCGTATGATTTAGAATCAACAGAAACAGATGTTCACGCAGAATAACAAATCACAATGTAGTGACAAAGTACTTTGTAAACCTTAATGTGCTCCATAAGTATTATTATTGTTGTCTAACTAATAATTAATGATAAGAATCGACTTAAAGAACAGGGAATAGACGTGGGGGAAGAATCTAAAGTTTGGTCATTCTATGGAGGTAGACAAGGTCATAAGAGTTGGGCAGGGCCCTTAGGCCAGATGTCCTAGTTCAAGGAAGAAGTATCTTAATCATTTCCCTTCAAGTTAGTTTTTCCCGTTACATGGGAAGTAAATTATATGATTCTGTGACTTGGGATCAGTACTCGGGGTGGCAGAAGGGCAGGCCAGACTGCAAAATGCCTGAAAAAACAGACACTAGCCTGGCTGAAAGTTTAGGTGTTGGAACATGAGAGCAAGGCCAGAGAATGATTACTTAAAGAACTGACATTCAAAGATTTGAGTCAGAAACTGGAAGATTAATAGCTGCTGCTGTTTTTACTGGGACAGAAAAGACAAAGTATCATTTTCTAAAAGTCCAAACTGAACCGGGGAAGCAGCATAGTACTGACTCTGAAGTTGGAGGGCTTGAGATCAAACCCTGCTCCTGAAGCTCCCTAACTGTGTGATTTGGGACGAATTCTTTAACTGCCCTGGACTTGAGTCTACTCATCTGGAAAATGTGGGGGCTGGGCTAAAAGGCCATTGAAGTCCTATCCCACTCTAGATCCTCATATGATCCTGGGAATGAGGGTTATCTACCAGGGCAGAGGTAGGGAGATGAGTAATTACCATCAGGGAAATCAGATACAGTGAGAATGAGTTTTTGGGGTAGGAAGGCCAGTGCCTAGGGCAGTACCAGATAGCTACTCAATCAGGGGAACAAATCAGGAATCCAACTGC